ACCAATTTCTTATTCGTCCCACAAGTCTTTTATCTATAGCACTTCCAAGGAGCAACTTTGCTTGGCTAAATCTTTTGCAAGATGGCAGCATGCAATAAGCAACAAAAACTGTGTGCTGTTTTAGAATTTAAGGCTATTTGTTTCATCAGTAACCCTGGTGACACAAGCATAGCAGAAATAATGCTTTAAAGTAGCATATTAATTATTATATCTGTACAGACTTATACATGCATCTCTAGTAACTTGTTTGTGGTAGGAGAAAATTTACATAATTTCTAAAATGACCCCCTAACACCAAAAGTCAAAAGTGGAAACACCCCCCCCCCCCTAACCTTTTCACCACAAATACAAGCAGGAAAGAAGTTAGGTGCAACTCCTCCTTTGAAAAAAGTAGACCTACCTAATTTTGCACTTGAAAAATAACAATTTCACTTTATTTGGGCAAACTGACAAACTTTCACAGGGAAAACTGCTATTACAACTGCTTTTCATTATGGGAAAGGCGATCATTATGTTCTAAACACTAGTAGGCTACATGATGCATAATTTAACCATTGATAGAAGCTGAGATTGAGAGCCAAATGAGCTTCCTAGTAGCTTTATAAAACAAATTTGCAGATCAAAGGAGGATACATCAAATACATGACTTTTTTCTCCATTGATCCACTAAAATTAAGCTACATATGTTTCGTCTTTCAAATGAACATTGTATTATTTTGACAACAGAAAGGTGCAGAAAACTTTCAGTCCACTGATGATGCTCAGTCAAATGCACAAGTAAAATGTGAATATGCCACATCCCTCAATTGTCTGCAGACTACAGACATAGTTTTCAAAAAAATCAAATGCAGCCAGGGGGCGATGTTAGAACACAAGAAGGGACTGCGCTATACCTTCAACCTTCAAGGCCAAGTCAAGGGGCTGAAGATTTCAAGCCAAGTCAACAGTAATGCCTACCGCCTGCTCAGCCACAAAACTTGTTATACTAGGCCAACTCATCTTACCCAATCATAAGGTTACTCAATTACAGGGCACTAACGAGCAGCTACTTCATAGTTAAACCAGAAGAACCTACACATAAAAATATACTCTGAAAAGACCAGACAAACAGTACAATTTTTCGACAGCATGGGCATCAATGTTAACTCCCAAAAAAGAAGATAAAATACCTTCAGTTCTGTCGAAGAACCAAGTTCCCAACTACCATTAATTGAAAGTAGAGAACGCAACTGTGAATTTATGCCTTTTTTAAACATTTGAAAAACAAACATCCAAGTCGTTCAAATGGGGGCTACATTCCTCCCATTTTGCTTGAAGGTGAAAAAGAAAAAAAGACAAGATCACCCGAAGACAGGAGACAGAAAGAAAAAAAAAAAAGAAGTGAAAACATAGCGCAGAATGGCCACAAAGAAATTTAACCTTCTTTATTGTCCCAGACATAAACTTTAAGCTAAAATATTTGTTTTCCAATCTTGTCTGCTATTTCATATCTGGCATTGTTAGTATTGCCATTGATAGCTGCTTCATCCATCACCGTCATGTTTAAGTCCATGACCACTACTGTGCTGCTGAAACCAATAACAACAGTCTAGCACAGATAACATTAACACGGAAAACCCGAAATCACTGATAGCTCTTACAACTTTCCATTCCCTGACCGATGTCTCTTTCATTTTACACTAAACAGCTGACCCAAATTACGGGTGTGTCAAACACATCTGCCAATCCCCCACCCATTTGAGTTATCTGTGCCCAACTGTATCTGGTTACCATGCCATGTTCCTTTAGTTGTTACTCTCCACTTCCCAGACTCCAAGAGAGCCACTGTCTCATATTGCCCTCTTGGCTATTACTGTAAGGTCACGTTCTCATCTCCCCCAGTTTGACAAACCCTCTATCTATCCTGAATGTGCTTTAGGATTCCGATACAGTACCTCCCAGCTACTATATCACTCAACTGCCCATTGCCAGTGATTCATGACACTTGTGCTTATTTATATCAATATCACATGGAATAGAGAGAAGAGCAGGAAAGAAAGTGCCACAGCACCTGTGGTCACTCCTTCCATTCTGTAGCAACAGTGGCTGATTCAAGAAAGCAAAGGTGTAAAGTAAATCAACCGGAAGCAAAATGACGTTAATTACAAAAAATGTGAATACCCCTCTTTACAATCTCACAATTTATTTATGCTGCCTTCACAGTCTCACCCTTTGTAAACAAGCTACTAGTCATTGTCAAAAGTATGGCCTCTCTACATTCCCTGGTATTGTCTACAAAGCCATCAGAGCCAGATTTTTTAAAATTGTGCGGGCTCTTTGTTTACTTTCCCTGCCAATAAAAGTGAAAATGACATCCATGATTTTTTTCCCTCATGTATCTTTTCCCTGACTTTTCTTCTCCTTTTTTGGTGCTAAAAAAAAATGACAATCCAGCTTTAAGACGGTATGGTACAGAATGATGGTTAATCAAGGAGCAAAAATATGGTTTTTATCCCTTTGTTCTCTCCCTTTTACAAAAGTCATAATATCAAAACAGAATAAAATAGCACAGCTGTACTCCACCAATTTCCATCAAAATCTACACAAAGAAGAATAACTGTTCAATGACTGAACATGAACTGCAAAGTGTTTTTTTTTTGTTCCAATTGGCTCTTTTTTAAAAACTAAGTTAACAAGACGATGGCACAAAGCTGATCTTACATCACAGAGCATGTAAGACATCATCATTACCCATTTACTCCAATGTTTCTGATGCAAACACTGGAGATCTGCTATCAAAAGAAAGCCAAACTACATCATCAACCAAGGCAATCAGTGCCTCACACAGCAGCAGCTCGAGACAAAGTATAACTGTGACACTTTCACATGAGAAAACGTTCATGCAAAATGCACAAAGACAAATCGACTGCTTAGAGTACGACTCCACCATATGCCATTTTGAAAAGTGACGGATGATGGAGCCTTACACCGAGGAGTTGAAATGAAAACAGAAGAGCTGCAAAAACACTACAGAATGAGCAACAAATCGCATAGCAGACAAACCCACTCAAGAAAAGCAGATGTTCATGTTTGTTCATTATACAGCACCCAAATAAGAATGCTTTATGTACTTTCACTCTTCTGCAGTCTGTAAAAAGATGCTTGTTGCTGAGCACCTATCATTGCAAAACACCAAAATTACCCTATCCAGACAAACAAAAATCTCCTTCGTGCTGTTGTGGAATTCAAGGGAGTTTAGCCATTCAAGTACGGTAACAGGGAGCTACTGAAAAAATATACATTGCAGCCCAGCTTACGTTATTATCCACAGTTCATACTGCCATGGTACTAGTGGATCATGTATCTAAAAAAAAAAAAAGTTAGAAAATAATAAAAAAAGTGTGTTTGATAAATTAAAAGACAAAAATAAATTAATAAATAAAAGTAAAAGCTCAGATTACCTACAATTATAATAAAACCGAGTTAGACTAAGAAAAGCGACATCATGAACACAACTGTTTTGCAAGTCATGAGGATGCAAGAAGGGGAAAGTAGGAGGAAGAATCCCTATCATACACAGAGATGCATAAGATTAATATAAGAAAACCCAATATATATAAAATCAATAAGAACATGTTCAAACCTCAAGGCGACAACTTTATTAGCCATCACACTAGAACTAGAACTCATCTACAGATAATAAATTAATAAGAATATGATGGTTTGCACAAAATACTTCTTGAATCTGGTGATATAAAATAGCTGTACAAATTTGCAAACAGACACTAGTAAACCTAGAATTACTGCGAAATTTCATTAGTAGCTGCAGCATAAAGCTGAGATTCAATTTCAGATGCTGTCACTGGCCAAAGAAACAGGTACAGCCACATGAAACATGACCTATTACATGAACCCCTTTTAAAAATCAAGGAAAAAAAAAAATCTAGTGTATTTACATAAAAACTCTACATTTCTGATGTGTCACAATCATCAATCAGTTGGAACCATCAAGAACAAATTCATGACTAGAATTATTCATCAAAGTATATGTACATCTTAACTTGATCGATAAAGTCTTTCATTATTACGACTGAAAGTCTTAACCCGAAAGTAAGCCACAAGAATTGATAGATAGAGAATTGAAAATGGTTTTTTTTTTATAATCTTTTTGTCAGTACAGTATCGTTTTTATCAATATATTGAACTAAAAGAGAGAGAGAGAGAGAAAAAAAAAAAAAAAAAAAAAGAACAAAGAATCCAAAGTTCTACAATAGTTTTCAAACTTTTAAAGGCATGTATAATTCTTCAAAATCATGGCACTGTCTTGCAAAGTTTACCAAGCGCATGACAAAATGATCAGCCGATCACCATATAGTAATACACCTGCACATCATCAGTAACATTAACTTTAAAAAATAATAATCATGGCTCATGGAGTGCAAAAGTAATAGCACCTTCACGTATAATATAATAATAGAAAAGTAGCCTGATACAACAGAATCAATACATTAATATCAATATACACAAAACCAAAATGTAAGCAGTTCATAGCTAAGATGTTTTTCTAACCGAGAAGAAAAAAAAAAACAAAAACAGAAAACTTTTTTTTTTCTATTTGAATGTATGGTAACATTTATCGTTTGTGAGGCAGCATGGTGAAATCTGGCACTAGTCAAAATAATGAAATCAAATAAAAACCGGCATTTTTTTGGGGTCAACACCTTTTATGTTCTTTAACAAACGTATTACTGAGCAACTGTTACCGAAAAACGTTAATTGAAGGCATGAAAATGTAAATTTCCAGTTTTCAAAGAAAGTCACCAAACTTTGACGGCCATTTACTCACTAATCTTATCTCCCACCTCCTTCAATCGTAAATATCTCAACTTCTATTCAAGATAGATGGGGGGGGTTTCCATCCAATGCAAGACAAATAAACTTGAACATAATAATATTCATACTCTACATGCCCAAAAATTGACGAATGCCTGATTCCACCATGCCGTCACTCATTTCTTTTAGAGATCGCAAACAAACATTAAAGAGGCAATACATATATAACAACTTCACTTTTGGTGACATTACAATCACTGAAATTTCTCATCAGCATTCTGCCATTCCAAGTGACTTTTAAATAAAAAAGATAGAAAAAAACAACAACAAACAAACCAAAAAACAATGCTCTCTCTTATGACATTGAAGCAATATTACTGAAAGTATGCCAACAACCAAACCCTACAACTCAAAGAAAACGAAGAGAGAAACAAGGTGCAAGAAATTGGATTTTCAATATTCAATGTGGCCGATCAGATCTCCAATATAAAACTGCACGAACAATGGTGTTCAGTAAACAAACCCTGGAGCATCTCCTAAGAAGCATGTATCCAGAGCAATGACTAAAGAGCTTCAAATTATTTTAAGCCCAAAAAATTCTGAAAGAGCAAGAACTACTTCCAGGCAAATGACAACCTATGAATTACATTATTTTTCAGTGTCAACCACAATGTAACTAGGAGATAAATCTTTATTTTCAGTACAAGTTGTGCTGCATAAAGTAACTTTAGTGATTGGGTAACACTGAGAAAATATGGGAAGGATGGTGAAGTTTCACCTGGGACAGAATACCAAAAAACATCAGCAAGCTGTTCAAATGTACTAAGCCATTAAAGCAAACATTTTACAGAGAAAAAACAAACCGCATTATTCTTTAAAAAATTGTACTAATTGTACTCACATTATGCATTATATCCCCCCCCCCCCCAACATTAGGAATTTAAAATTCCGACAAAAAAATTTTGACATGCAAACATTACCATCGAGTAAGAAGCCACAATTTTTAAAAATTTTGAAATTCAAAACTCTGGGGTTAGTTCATTTTAACAGCTGGCGACGAAAATTGACAACAAAAAGTAAGAGCAGATCACACCAAAACACCTTCTTGTAGTAATCATCCATTTACTTAAAACTACTTTACAGCACTAACTCTAACAGTTAGTCTATTTTTTTATGAATGTGTTTGTATTCCCCCATCATCAACACAATTTAGATCATTCAAGAGGTGGTCTTTCGACCCTGCCTGTCTGGGCCAACCTGGGCTGAGAGATATACAGTAGCCTCCACCTAAACACACGCCATACAAAAGCACGTTTCGCCACCTGACGAGTTTTTTACTATATAATCAAGACGTACAAACGCACGGTCACTCCCTCTAAACGCACGCTCCGGTCTGCGAAACACGCCGACAGGTAAAGCTCAACAAAGGGATATTTTCACTACAACCTGCACAGCCTGCGTTAGTAAGACAAGCCTAGAAAATTGGTGAGCGTGCCCCTCTCGTCGAACAAAGAGAGTGATGGACAGCGTTTTCACATCCAACTTTTCCCTGACCCATAGATCTAGAACTAGAGATCTAGGACTGGTCGGTGAAAAGTTTGGGGTGGGGTGGACTGAAATGTTGTTTGATTAGTCACTGGAAATGTATCTTTGAGAGAAGGTTTCTGACTGGGGTTTGAGTGACTGCGTGTAATGTATTGAATTGTTAGGTCTAGGTCTGATGCGTGACACCCGTAAAACACTAGATCTAGACAGAATTAAAGATTAAACAAGTAAGCCTAATCGGCTGCGCTCGAAGAACTTATAATGTACTTGTTCAACTAATCACAGGAGAAAAATTTCTCTGAATGAGAGAATGATTCTGCATGAATTTACGGTCAGGGCAGGTCGCTTGGAAAGCCACGTGGCCGGTCCGTCGTCTCTATGACTATCACCAACAGTTCTCTCTTAGGCTATCTGTTCTATAAATTATATGCTATAGCGCATATTTACTACATTGAGTCTTCCTTTCTCCCCCTCCCCCATGTATTTTGAACCCCAGTCAAGGAATCCATCACAAAAGTCACGTGTCGTCACATTATCTGCAAAAATGACCCCCTCCCTCCAAGGGAGTTCACTGGAGAAATAAGGAATTGAGATGACTGCGTCCCTTCCTCCCCTTGCATAGGTTCATGTACACGCACACTTCGTATAAACACACGCTAAGGAGCCCTCCCGAGCACCCTGTGTTTAGGCGGAGACTATTGTACTTGGATTTCCTGCACGCAACAGCGAAGTGCCTAACCGCTACACCACAGATGCCAGTAATACTGACAGTATCAAACATTGGATCTTTCACATAGTTAGACCAATCTAAGGGACCAAGTCAGCGTGCTACATTCTGTCCAACTGTTCTACTTCGAAGCCTAGACGGCAAACTTTATTCAAAAGAAAGAAAAAAAACGTGCATTCTCTTTTAACTGTGTTCCTGACTGAAGACGGCATAACAGTCCCAGACTAAGTAAAAATAGAAAAGTTACACGACATTGCAAGACTCTTCACCTCAAAATTAATCTTTGCTGGGGCAAAATTTTAAGGTGAAAAAGTAAGAAGTCAGTCTTTAGCACACATATATGCTTAAGTAGCACCCAAATCATCAAAAATGGTAATTGCTTGATTCTAGTAACCATTCCATTGTGCACAACATGCAAGCAGAACCAACTGCTCTCACTAAACAGCTAGTCATGGTCTCTTTCATTGAGGCCCCCTCTCCTAAGAATCCCTGATTCCCCAAAAAGAGGCAAAGAGGCAGAAGAATGCGTTTTACACCTCAACAAAACACAGAAGAAAGAAAAGTGTCTTCAAAAAAATTATACAGTCTTCATGTGGATAAAACCAAGAGTGCAGACAACGAGAAATCTAAATGAGAAGCCCTTCAAAGATTAAAGAAAAAAGAGGTCTCATTAAAAAAGAAATATAAATTTAACACTCCCTAAAAGCTGAAGTCATCCTCAGAAGTCTGTTAAAAACGGAGCTTGTAATAAGGAATATGGTTTATCTTTTAATAATCATAATTTACTATTTATTTGCATACTTTGATTGTGGTTTTGCATTCCATTTAGGCTTATCATAACATACATTATAACAAAGCATCCATTTCAGAGTAAGTTTCAAGACAAGCAAAGCAAATTTTGTACAACACACTGACCAAAAATCACAGTGTAATATATGAATAAATTAAAATGGCAGGGTCTGCCATGTTTGCAAAATCATAACTTTTAACAAAAACAAAAAAACTTGCACCACAAAAATACTCAATAAAATTAGTATATAAAAAAAGAAAAAAAAAAGTACACAGACAAACAATAGAATTATCAATACATTTTAACCTACTCTTCAAAAAGAACCAGGGACAGGAATTTCCAACCTCTGAAGTATGAAAAGGTGTGACCAGTGACATCCAACAAAAAAAAAGTCAGAACTGAAAAGAATATATGGAAGTAAATTTGTCCCTTTTTAAAAAAATCATGTGAAGAGGGAAAAAAGTGTTGGTCTTTCTCTTTAAAACTAATAAGAAGAGTTGGTTTAACCAGTGAGTAATAATTCTGTGGAAAAAAAAACACCAAAAAAAAAAACAACAACAAACCACTTGAGTCTGATGCCAACAGGCAGAAAATCTTCTATCTTTTCTTTGATTTAAAAAAAAAAAAACAGAAAAAAAAACGTCAATTTGGATTCTGAAGACATTAGGATGGGTAAAAGTGGCTGAACATACAAAATACAGCTTTCCGAAAAACCACAAACAGCCACAGCATTAAAAGTATAGAATCACAAATGACAGAATATGAGAATAAATGTGAGAGATTCCCCCCCCCCCCCCAAGAGAGTACCTTTGAGAGAAACTGGTAGCACATGAAAATACTTTACTTTTGACATGAAACAGGATACGTAAATAACAACTTACTTAAATGAGATAGGACAAACTTAAGACACACATTATCCATAAAAAATACAAGATTGGATTGTTGTGCTTTTTACAAACAAAAATTTAAACAATGACAAGTTATGCTCCTTTCATAACTATTGTCAGATTTGGTATACTGCAAAGTATCTGCATTTTTTCCAACACAGACCCACAGACTGATTTGAATGCTGCTTGTGACTAGCAAAAATACTGATTATATGTTCAGCCTGTGTTAGTTTTGGTCTTTGATATGACACATACAACAAGTCTAGAGATGCAAAATTGTCCAAACGATTACAATACATACTTGCAATTAAACAAAAACAACATTGCTATGAAAAAACTTACGAAACTTTCAATATCATCATTACCATGCATATTCGCACTCCATAAAAAACATGCATACTTTCAAATAAAAGAAATTCAAAATATATTTTACATAAATAAAACTTATTGACCAAATATATTCCAATATGTACAAAACGCAAAGGGGCGAGACAAATATTTTCAAATAAATTTGAGGGAAGCTCATCTGTACTAGCACACAATCTTCAAACAACAGAAGATAACCTGTACCACGATGAAGAGATTCATAAAACAAAACATTTGCTCAGCACACTGCAAATATGTTTCTTTTGAAAACTAAAATAAAATAAAATCAAGTCTGATGGGAATTCTCAGGAAATGCAGTTTGGGGTAGAAGCTGGAAATTGGCTACAGATAGCTGAGAATCTGTAGTGAATCTGCCGTGCGTGCTTGGGAAGCCAGTGTGAAAAGTGCTACGGTGAGGAAGATTGCTTATTGCTGTGGGCATATATGCCTTATTGTATGGGAAAGCATATGGGCTCATATCATTTTTGTAATCATGGTGAACACTAGGTGGTAAATGAGGCTCTGGTCGGATCATGTGAATGTTTGGATGGACACTGGTATCTTTCATCGACAGCTGCATGGCTGGTTGCATGCGGTCATTTAAAGGAATTTGTATGTCTGGCCTTCCATAAGGTTCAGTCTGTAAACCTGCATGTAAATGACTACTGCTGCCACTGGAGGATGGCATGTGACTAGATGGAGGTGAAATGGGAGAATTATAGGAACCCCTTGGTATATTGTAGTGTAACACTTGACTTTCGTTCATCGATACCGGAGAGTGATTCTTTCTGGATAGACTTTGACTCTCCTCGGCATAAGCGAGCTTTTGAGCTTCAACATAAGCTTTCTCAGAGTAAGAGCTGCCAGGACTCTCTATGTACCTCTTCTCAGAGATAGATGTCGGCGGGGGAGGGTTCAAGTATCCTTTCTCCACGTACGCAGTACTGTGATTGCTTGGAAAAGATTTTTCAACAACTGGCACGTGGCTGCTCCGAGAAAAACTTTTCTCCTGATAATTGTTCTGACTATCAATATTATAGTCCTTGTCAAGGTACTGTGCACTTATATTTCTAGGGTAGTTCTTTTCATCATACAAAACATTGCGAACATTTGGGTACAGTTTTTCTTCATACTGACTTTTTGCTGGTATAACATAGTTCTTTTCTGGATATTGATTGGTCTGAGGAGGTGGGTAATCATTCTCTCTATATGGAGTGATAGCTTGCTGTGGTACTACTGCTGGAGAAGACCGTTGCTTATTATTTTGTACTGTTGCAGCAGCAGCAGCAGCCTTTGTTGCCTCGGACTCTTCATTGTCTGTTTCTGTTTCAGAGCCACTATCACTCTCATGAAAGGTTGCATTGGGAGTCTTTGTGTTATTGCCAACCTTTTGAGTAGCCGATGTGGGGGCAGCAGCAGCGTTTGCAGCTACAGTTGCACCACCTTGATTCCCCATGTACATCATGAGTCCATTGCGCTTGTGCTCACCAATGTGATCCAGAAGTTCTTTCCTCAACATAAAGCTTTGACCACACAAAATGCATGTGTGCGGTCGCTCTCCTGTATGCTCACGTTTGTGAACTGCCAGATGATGCTCTTTGGAAAATGTTTTTCCACAGTCCAGGCAAGAAAACTCACCCCCCTCAACTTCTACCAGATCTTCATCTGGAATTTCATCCCCACCACGAGCGTTGAGGCCTTCTCTTTCATGCTTTTTCATGTGATTGTTCAGGTACACCTGTCCTTTGAACATTTTGCCGCAGAGGCCACAGAAGAGAGGACCCTTGGAAGCAGGCAGGCCAGAATTGGAGACGCTCTCCCCAGCAGACATGTGTGTGGCATAGTGGGCAGTCAGGACTTCCTGAGATGGAAACATTTTCCCACACACTTTACACAAGAGAGGTAGCTGGTCAGAGTGACACAGCATATGAGCCTCCAGGTGAGAGACTCTGCCAAACTCTTTGCCACATACCTGACACACACGACCAGCCCTGTCCCTATGTGCAGCCATATGGCGATTCTTGTTATTGATTGTCTCAAACACTTTTCCACACTCCTCACACTGAAGATTGCCCTCTTCTAGATGACCCATGTGATGTTTGAAAAATTCCATAACGTCCAAGTACACATTCCCGCACCTTTTGCATTCATACTTGCCCTCTTTTCGGTGAGTGCGCATGTGGACTTTGAGAACAGAAGACTGAGAAAAATCTCGCTCACAGAGTCCGCATTTATACGGACGTTCCCCAGTGTGAACCCTTAGGTGAACCGACAAGACCGAAGCCGAACGGAAATACCTTTCACAGAACTCACACTGAACTTGCTTATGCACTCTCTTGTGTTTTTCTTTCTCGTATTGAGTAGGAAACACCATTTCACACAGACCACAGGGATACTGAACGCCTTCTGCGCCATGTGTTTTCATATGCTGTTTGAAGGCAATCCACTCAGTATACTCCTTGCCACAGTCTGAGCACTGGAGATGCTGGTCGTGCTTGCTGGTCAGGTTATGCACCAGCATGTGAGTGTCCAGTTTCTTCTTGCTCTCAAACAGTTTACCACAGGTCTGACAACAATGGTTCTTGCCAACTTCATGGCTTGCCATGTGGTTCCTGAGTCTCTGGCCCGTGTGAAACTGACGACCACAAAGCTGAAAGAGCAAAACAATAGCACAATATAATTTGTGAAAGAAAAAAAAAAATATGCAGAAAGAACACATCATTTTACTGTAAAATCCAAATTTAGTGCTCAATTCAAAAACCAACTTTTATCTTTATTATTAGATGCCAAAGAGACAGAGAATATCAAATACTTCTTGAAAAATTATTTCAAATTTCAATCATCTTAATTAAGAAGGCAAATACATCTCATTTCACCATTAAAAATTACCACTCATTCAATACCCTGGTCTCCTGGTTTTTAAGTTAAACTTAAGAACGACATTTACATCAAGTTGCCTCTCATCAACAATTTACTTTCAAATTAAGTTAGCCAAAGCCATAGAGGAATCCCTGATACCATATCTAAAAAATAAATAAAATAGTTCTAAAAATCAATTTGAAAATTAAACACATTATTTTCATTTCTACATCACAGAAACTCCATGAACGTCTTTGCAACAAGGGGAATGCAAGTTTTTACTGAAAATAAAAAACAACCCTAAAACCAACACAGACCAAAGATTAACTGGCTGTGGTATTTAAAATAAGGGATAGGTGGAGTTGTGAAAAGTACTATGATGACTCAACACATTTGTGTTCCTTTGAGAGAAATAACTGCAACTTAAAAAAGCCCACATTTTTAAAAAAATCGTTCAAGCTTTTGAACACTATTGTCAAGAATAACACCATATCCCCTTTCTTCTGGGAAACTTATGTTGTTTTCATTTGCTCACTTAATAACTTCAGCTTCTGTTCATCAGTTCATCAACTGTTGAAGCATATTCTTACTGACTGCTGTACATTTCCAAGGACAGGGGTAAAATGGTACATGTACATGTCTCTAACAGTTAATTTCGTAGTCAAGAGCCACTAAAATATATTTTGAAGTACCCGCAATATTAAAAGCAAGGCATACTTGAGTTCATCCATCTGCAGACTTGTGTCTTTAACAAAATAAAAAAATCTACATTTGCCAGGACTAACCATGAAGATGACAGCAAAATCAAATTCTGTGCACAAAAGCAGCATGAAAACTAAGCGTATGGTCGGGATCAATGGTGTTGATAGCATAATATGAAGTACTATGAATGGGAAATCAGCAGGCAGCAATTGTCCACTTGGCATAGCAGAAAAAAACCTCCAAAACCCACGAAAAAAGCCTGTCAAATCTGCCATGGGCCACGAAGACAGCCAGTAATGGTGCTACAATTGCTTACTAACTTGGTCAATGGCACGGAAGAAAAAAGTTTGAACCCATATGGACCTGATTTTTTTGCACCCATTTCTAAAATGCCTCATTTCTCAGAACAATCAGATGGTCTGGCAAACGAAACAAGTCCTCCTTTTAAAATTAACAAATGACCTATGATTCGCTGCACACCAGCCGTAAGTTTATTCTAATTCAACCAAAATTATACAATTTAGAGGCGAAGAGTTTCTTGGATTCTAACACTACAAAAGTAATGTACGGAAATGAAAGGCTGAATTCTAGAAAATGGCTTCGAATGAGTGAAGGTGATGCATGCGCAAAATGAGATGATGCATCTTTGAGCATGTCAATGAGGATTTTACAGTAACAACAACAGCAACAATAATACAGTCAACAATGCAACTTCATAAAATGAATAACAACAAATACAAGTGGAAAAATTGTCTCTCATTAGTTTAAATAAATACAAGCTTTACAAGCAGAAAAATAGCTTTATGACCTTTGAAATAGAATCTTCAATAACACAGCTATCTTAAAAGGTTGTCATGGACAAAAATTACATCCATGACCAAATGCTAGTGAACTGATTTTTAAAACTAGATCATTAGATGCAAAATTATCAGACAGGGTCTCTCAACCAGAATGCTGCGGCCCACTTGACCGTTAAGCAGAAGCAGAATGACTAAAATCACACCACCATTCTATATATAATATAATACTAAATTTATTCTTCCCCTATCTATAAGGGAAATGAACAAGGTGAGCAGAAAAGAAGTTATTCAGAAATGAGTACTGAATTATAAAAGGTTGAGAGTCCCAGTACCAATTTTGTTAAAAACATAACAAAAATTAACAAAACACAAGCTCATTGTAATATTTGTTGGAAATCGTAACGTTCAACAAGTAACATGTGAGACTGATCTTTCAAAACCTAGCAAGAGAGACAAACAAATTAAATTCTGTCTCAATGAATGAATATCCTTCACTGTAAAAAAGATATGTCTGCGCATTTTGTCTGTTGCCTTAAATACATATTTTTAAGAGCAAACTAAAATAGTAAATAAAGTACAAAACCAAACAAAAGGAAAGAAATAAAAGCAAACAATTACTTACATTGCAAGAAAATCTTTTCCCTCCATTGGTATTGGATCTACTTACATTGCAAGCAAATTTTTTCCCTCCAGATTCAGTATGTTTTGCTTTCAAATGGTAAAGGTATGCACGCCAGTTGACACACACCTAAGAACATTAAGAAAACATGTGAAACCAGAACAGAAACAAGGTAACTATAGAGACTTCATTGAACGGCAATAATGAAAATAAAATAAATCATTTGAAAAATGGGGTGCTTTTCTTTTTATCGACAATCAAAGAGTGATCAAATAACTAGTCATCTGAAGAAAGTTCAATTCTGACACAACCAGGGTCAATAGCCAATCTCCCAGACCAGAACCCGAACAAATGTTATCTTCCAATCCCATTTTACAAAGCAACAATTCCTTTGTAAAAACAACTATTTTATTGCCATCAAATCTATCCGTCTATCCTTGTGACCATTCATACCTGTTCAATTTGCCACACCGCCCACTGGTCATCTCAGAACACTTCAAATGCTAAGGCAAAATTAAGCACACACACAAAGAATCAGGAAGAAAATCATTTTTTTTTAATGGGCAGAGAATGTGCTGTAAGATGTATTGTTCCACAGTAAGTCAATTTCCAATTGATCAAATTAGTCTGCAATAGATTAAAATTATATTTAAAGTAAAGCACACCTTAAATTTAAAAAAAAAAAAAAACTATAATTTTTTAAATCTCCCAAACCAGTATTGATAAAGATGTTTGAGAAAGAAAAATGGACATCCCCTCCACTATCCACTGCCACAAGGGAAGGAAAACAAAATAAAAATATATTTTAACTTTTAAACTTCGATTGAAATTGCTTTTTTAAACCCAAAGAAAGAAGCAAAACGATCTTTAAGAACAATTTCGTAAGTTATGAGAAAAACAGTGAATGATCGAACTATCGCGTAAAGGACGAATACCAGATGTAACAATAGTCATAAAAACATTTATTTAGAATAAAAAAAGGCAAATCTTACCTTGCCACAGCTTTCACAAGTGAAAGAAGCACTGCGGTCACAGCTGTGGACAGGCAAGTGCAGATCCAGCTTGTGCTGGGAGGCAAACATCTTTCCGCACGTGTTGCAACAAAATGGCTTGCCTTTACTATGACCTAGCATGTGGCTGTCGTATCGACTTGGGACACGGAATATCTTCCCACATATGCCACACGGGTAACTGGGAGGAGGCCTGGAGGACACCGAACGGCCTGATCCAGGGGAAGCACCAGAAATTTGCGAGGACCGCCTGGGTCTCCTCGGGGTTGTTGGGGTTGCAGGAGGGGCACCGGCACCAGGGATGGGACCTTGCACAGGTGTCGGCAGTTGCTGAGGATTTATCCCCGCTGGCAAAACAGCCTGGTTTGAAAGATCTGACCCTGTTCCCGGATAAATACCCTGCGTTACATCATTGAACAGGTCCTCCATATTTTGAGTACCGTACTTTGAAGTGTCACAGTTCTCATCCTTTGGGGCAATATGCTTGATTTGCGTTTTTGATGGCTTTCTCTTTGACCTGTTTTTAGCACTGGGATCTAGAGACAATTGTGCATCATTTCCATCTCCATCTACAGATTCAGGGGATTCCTCTTCCACAGACACAGTCTCTTCTGTGACTGTTTCTCCTGGCCCTTCCATATCAGTCGACAGTTCACACTGAAACTGAAAAGGAGAAAAAGCCACAAGTTTTTTAAAACGAAAGGACGGATCACCCCCCCCCCTTTAAACTTATATAATACCCCAAACTTTAATTTTTACTAAGGCAAAGAAGCTACAAGTACAGAGATATTGTTAAAGAAACCACAAGTCACTTCAATTAATCTTAAAATTTAACTTGAAGGGTAAGTTGGGTTCCAGGAGAGAAATAAAATGCAGTCAATTCCAACTCTAATACACTTTTAAAAAGAAAATAAACTGATTCATTATTCTTCAGAGCTATCCCAGGGTTCACATTCCAGTCTTTCCATTTTTTTCCCATCGTGAAACTTTCAAGCCTCCTGGATCACTTCCTTTTCATCAAATGAAAATGTCTCATGCTTGCTTTCATGCCAAATGATCAGTTTGATGTACAGCCTTTGTGGTCAGTGAACTGCAGAGTGCTGTACGAACAAGATTCTGAGTTGAAAAACCACGCTCACGGGACATGGAAGTAAGGGGGATGGTGACTTTATGGTGAATGAGAGTCCAGCAAGTTTTATGAAAGTAGAGAAAGACTTTCCATTAATTTTAAAGTTATTTTGATATCATTATTAATTTATTTTTTTTAAATGGCCGACAATTCATGATCCCTAGTGTTAAAGAATGACGGGGGTAATCTCATGGCAGCGGTAAACTCAAGGAACAACACCGGCAAATGCAAGCTACCAGAATGTGAGCGGGGCTTCTCTGCTGAAGCCAGCCGGTGTCACCGGAAACTGCGTGCAGCTGATAAGTAACATCCACGCACCACCTAAATTTTAAGGGGGTAATCTGCAGGTTTAATGCGTAATACACTCAAACCTGCCCTGACGGCCACCTCTATAAGAGAGCCACTTTCCATTCCCCCCCCCCCCCTGCATTTTTTCTATATAATTTAACTGTGTAAAACGGGCACCTGTCGAACGCGGCCACGGCCACCATAATTTAACACACAACCCGTATCACACAAAGCAATAACACCTCTGTCTTAGACGGCCACCTTAATGACTCCATTACATTTTGTATTAAATTATTTAAATTGTGCATTGGCCCCTGGCGTTGTGGGCGAGCCGTCATAATTCAATCACCTGTCGTTGTTGTTAGGTAGTCCCTCCAACCGATCATGTTGCATAGGCCCCACCCACTGTTGACCAATAGCTACCAATTTTCAGCTGCAGGTGAGGTAAGCGTGTGATCTCTTAAAACCCATAAGCCCTGCCCAGAACTCATACACAAATCGTAAGTGAGATGAGTGGTCACTGTTTACCCAGTCTGCAACAAAGTAACAAAGGACGTCAACAAGAACTTGTGACAGAAGCGTTTCTCGTTCTCCGAGTGGTGGCGACCCAGTTGTTTGTTTTAACATGGCACTCGGTCTTCCTCGTCTGATACATTTCGTTTTATTGTCACCCTTGTGCAAAATCAGCAACAAAATAAAAAATTACAAACAAAATACAAACCACCACACCACCAACAACAATGCGGCTACTTTCAATTGGGACCTCAGATGGGAATGGTTCATTTTCTTTATCTTGATCACTCCTGCCTAAGACGGCCACCTGTCTTATACGGCCACTTTTCTCCTTGACAATGGGTGGCCGTCTTACACAGGTTTGACTGTATACGTATATGAGAAAAACAGTGAATCATCGAACTATCGCGTAAAGACATGAAATTTGAACCGGCCTTCCGAGCCGTGATTTAAATACAGGTTGAGCAGGGATCTACGCTACTGGTAGGTTGACGCAGTGGATGAAGCTCCGGACCTGTTAGACCCACACACATCGTTCCCCGCTCGAAACGGTAAGTATTGAACACAACGTAGATAGGCTAACGAGTAGCATCTAGGATTAGATATAGCTTATCATCTCATCACAGGTAAGGCCGCCATCTTGTTTGATGTCAGACCGGGATACCCCTCCGATCCCGAGACCACAATACACCGCAAGGCACCAAAGATAAAAGACAAAGTGTCTATGTTATATCAAGCTTAATCTACCTTTCGCTGTGTTGGAAGTTTTGATGGCCGAAAGGACAGCGCGTCTGCGTTTGGGGTCATACAATTTTTTAATGAGCGGGGGATCAAATATCGGTCCCGGAAGTCCCCCCCCCCCTCCCGAATTCTCCTCGTCCCGACTGACCAACAGTTTTTCCCATAAATTATAATTTGTTGCTTTGTAGTTTTTTGTGATGGAGCATGCAGAAGGGGGGGGAGGAGGAATCCTCCAGCGTCTTTACAGCAGTTTTCGAGCAGTTTATTGTCTTTGCGTATACCGTGTTTCAATTTCAAGCATCAGAGTTCTTACTGTTCTGAGCATCAACGATCTAAGCGATCTTCCATCATGTTCAAGTACTAGATCTAGGAATTCCGAAATGTGCTTATATGTGGTACTTCCACGGCCTTCTTAAAATAGTCTGTAGGTATCACAGGAAGTGGTGACATCACATTACGATTACTAAAATTAATAGGCCAACCAGGAAGATGCGTCGTTCTACGTTTAAATCGCATGTGGGCCGCCACCACCGTCACTTGTTTTTTTCTCTTTTTGCACACAGAGCTATATTCCCTCCCATACTGTTGCCCACTGCCCCGCCCAACTATTATATTATCCTTAGCAAAGAAAAGAACACAATTCGCACTGGGTCACCACAGTCGGCGTCCATTTGTTGTAAGTTCATTGGCCAAATCGTAGATACCGAAGGCCAAGGTAGAACTGCTTGTCTGCTTCACATCCGGTACACCTAGTGATTGCGTAAACGCATTGGAGTTTGAGTCCAAATAGCCACGGAAGACAATTCAGACTCGAACTGAGACTCAATTCCAAATAGCTAGTCAGTATCAATAAAAAAAAGGCTGTAGTTATTCGCACAGGGTGTGTGAATATTACGAAATTATATTCGCACAGGGTGTGTGAATACTACAAAATATTATTGGCACAGGGCGTTTCAAAGGAAGGATGGAAATTATCTAGAGACTAGACCTAGCATTTCCTCATTTTCCCTTTTTTCATCCTCTTTCGCGTAGGGACAATTAAAGGTCATGGATCACAAGATAGTTGGCTCCTCTTTTTGAGCCAAATAAAAAAAGTGTTCTCAGAATTTGGTGGCGCCCTCTTCGAAAAAGTGCGGACTTTGCAAACAGACCCTACTTGGACTTGGGTGAAAAACAATAAAAGTAAAATTAACAGACTGGGCTTATCCTATTCTTCTTCTGGAGAAAGGAAAGAGCAAGCTTCAAAACAAAGACTTCAGGGTCATCTGAAGCAATGCGCCGACTTCTGCTAACACTTTTCGGGCTGAGTGAACAATCTTGTTATCTATCTTTGGTAGGGATAGATCTAGATCTAGATCCAATTCTAATACTAATTGTGCAATGCGATACAAAAAACCCAGCTCAAATTAGAATTCAAGTTGTGTATTGTGTCAAAGATAATGACTCAAATGATCTCTTTTTTTTTTCCCCTTGAGAGAGAGAGAGAGAGAAAGAGAGAGAGAGAGAGAGAGAGAGAGAGAGATGAGTGCATGCTTACTTTAACCCTTAATCTGAAACAAGTTATACTAGATCTAGATCTAGAGATAATCTAGATCAAGTAGTGTCCAGTTGTTTTAACATAAAAAAAACCTTTGTCAAAAGGTGGAATATAACCCGTGCGTGACAAACGAGGTCCAAAATCAACGTAAGCTTGACCCTGTGCGAATAATCACTTCCATTTAAAAAAATACACCTAATAGGTTAACTATGGGGCTAAAACCAGAGAATGCCTACAAATTACAAAGGACTCGAGTGCATCAAAAAGGAAGGTGCACACATTTAAGAAAAAATAGAATTAAATATATATATGAAATCTCATGACTATGACTGAATTCCAAAACTTTTGTGAAGCATCATAGATCCACAAGAGAGGAAAGTCTGGTTTGAGTTCTTCAACGTCCAAGCTCAAAAGTTAAAAATATAAAAAAAGGGTAAATTTTTACTTTAACTCCTGCACACAGAGGCACTGCTTCGGGGGTCAAACTGCAGACTGTTTGCTGCAGACCATAGTCACTAAAACTGCCGTAAATCAATTATTTCCGAGAAAATTTCAAACCTAACTGTAAAATATCAAATTATGGCTATGGGTAAAAACAGAGGGGCACGCCTGTAACATCCCATATTTTCTTTTACGAAGTGTATACAGACCCGGTAACCGGGAACAAAGTCACAAAGTATACAGATCCGGTAGGGGAACTCTTTTGTGATTTCGGAAAGTTTCAGCGCCCAGACCTGGTAGTGCATGTGTGTGTGTGTGAGAGAGAGAAAGAGAGAAAGAGAGAGAGAGAGAGCGACGGACCCAGGGAAGAATCTATGGTGACCCATGTTAAGGCTCACAATCGGTAAAATGTTCTCCCTCCACTTTACAATGAACTGACGTGCCCGCTTGGTGGGTTTATGACATATGGTGAGCAAAGAGTGGTTAACCTTGATGACCTATCACAGTGCATAGTGCGATGAGGCGTGCCATTTTCACTTATTATCCTATCATGAGGCTCAAGATCTAGGCTTATCCAGTTGCCCCTCCCCTTTACCTGTCGAAAATGTATAGCTTTCCATCTCTGACCAAGTCCCCCCACAAAACCGCCTTTGTCGTTACACACCATTACGTTGTGAACACACCAATTAAAATTCAGTCCATCTCGCAAATTCGGGAGTAGAGACAACTGCTGCAATGGTCAAGGAAGAGTTCACGGTTCGATGTGATCCCGCCTGGAACGAACGTGTAGGCCCTACGCACCCAACGAGTGATGCAAGTTTAGGAGGAGAGCTCGGGTGTGAGTGCGATGTTCGGGGAAAACAAACGCGTCGGTCAGTTCACACCCCGGTGTGATCCCGTCGGGGGCAAACATTGAATGTATCGCTTCATCGAGTTTTACAACGTGTATGTGATCACATTCACGATACTGGCTTATCTTTGACCCGACGGACAGTTTAATGATCTCAACTTTTCACTCTTGGTTGATCGGCCGTGCCCGACGGCGTTTTTGTTTAACAAATTATGATCTGAAATGCGGGATCTTAGCCGAATGTCGACCATCAGAGCGGGATCTTAGGGGTGACTTTTGTATAGTAAAAGTTCTGTTTTCCTAAAACAACGGGATCTTAAGCGAACCGGGATCATAAGCGGTGGGATCTTCTTAGGCGGAGACTACTGTACTATTCTTTTCTTCAAATTGTGATTCCCCCAACTCCAAAACGGAGGAAAAAACGATCGTTCATGTCATCGAAAAGACATCCGCAATCTTCATTTAGATCTAGATCTAGGCCAGCCTCGAAACCAGATCAATGATTTATGTCTGTCTGTCTAGATCTAGAAGGACCTAGCTCTACCCCATAGAATTCTACAGTAAGTGTAGAATTATTTTCTGTGGTCTGCCCTGAGCCAAGTGGGCACTGAAACTTTCCGAAATCACAAAAGAGCTCCCCTACCGGGTCTGTAAACTTTGTGATTTTGTTCCCGGTTACCGGGTCTGTATACACTCCCTTTCTTTTACCACAGGCCACAGGGGAGCAGGCCCCCGACCCCCCCCCCAACGACTAGTCCAAAGCACGCAAATTACTATGCGGTTAAGCATAGTGTGATGTAGCTCGATTTTAAAGAACAATCAGATATTTCAAAGACTATTAATTTGTGACGGAAATGAAGTTGATATTCGTGTTCAGTGCATCGATATTTAGACCTAGAATCTAGATTTCTAATCTAAATCTAGATCTAGATTCTGTAGAAAATGAACAACTGGTATAAGTGTGCGACATGAGCGAAAGTAAAAGAATACCAAAGGGTCTTCTCCGACTACTCTGAGGCTACTAGATTCTAGATCTAGCAGGCCTACTAGTTAGCCTTACATATCTCTAGACTCTACGCTAGACAGTAGAGGTAGTCAAGACACTCGTCTAGATCTAGTCTAGATTAGTTCTAGCCTATTCTGGGGGGCCTAGTCAGACTTTTCTAACAGTCTTGAAACAGGCAGATTACTTTTTTAGAACGACAAAAAGCAAGAAATCTTTTATCTTAACCAAAGTTCAAAGTAACTTCAACAGTTTCTTTGACTCTGCTTACAATTATCACTTAGCCTAGAATCTAGAAAAGATCTAGATTTAAATCTATATAGATCTAGATCTAGATCTATATATAACATCTATATCTAGATCTAGAATCTACTAGATTTAGATCTAGATCTAGAATCTATTTCTAGATCTATAATTATAACCAGTAATGCCAACTTAATTTTATCTTTCCGAGATGAGGAGAAATCGAACATAGAAGATCTATTTGTGCCAATATATTTAATATCGATACGTTTTGAAAAGGGTGCTTCAACTTCAAGAAAAAACAGGTCACAGAACGGTCACAGAACAACTATTACATGCTTCCAATCCCGATATCTCTCCCATACCAAGGGAAACAGTAATGCAACAATAAAAATTCCCTTCAGATAAACGTTGCCCAATTAAACGATGGACTACGTCCTTCCGATTACTTTCAATGAAATGGCTACGAGTTCATCGCCCCGCCGTCGCCCCGAACGGCCGACGGAGCAGCAAGCTAGCGAACAGGCATGCAGGCAAAGAGGAAGAGAAGGAAGGAAGAAAAAGGTGCACAGCGATTTCTCTAAATCAGACATTCATCCCATTTAAATCACAAGGGCTGTTACGGGAGCATGTTTTGTACAATAGAAGCGATGATACGATAAAAACTTACCCGATATCAGCAGCACCACAAACGATAATTGTGTCTTTATATCATCAAAAATAAATTGTACGCTGAATCCGTCACCACCACGTCCACCATATCCGTTTGCAAGTGCGTCGGCGCGAGGTGGCGCTCCCGGTGCGTGCAAGAGTGTGTCAGTCAGCGTGTACCTGGGCTGCTGCGAGGCCCACTACTATTTTTAGAATTGCACAAAGAAACAAAATGTGCGGGCGAACGCTTATTATGTAGGCCAGGACCCCACGAAATGTTTACTTAGTGTTGAACACACCATACACTTACACACTATCGCACACACATGCGTGTATGCACAAACAGATAAGTAGTCACACAATGGCCAAAGCCCTGCCGAGGATTTGAATTCAAAGCATAGGCCTACATCACTCGCGAAGGCGAACGCAGACTAAGCGAAAAAGAATAGCCCACTCCGACCCCCACCACCATACGCACCGACAATGCATTTTTATTATTGCCTTCATCCCTTTTAAGAATGCAATAATCAAAGCCTTTCTTTTGATGACGAAATGAATGAGTAGCTTAGGCCTAGCCTATTCTTGCCTGGCCGATTTCAACGAAACGCGGGAGGGGAGCCCACAGTCCACCGAGTCCACAGACTCTTCAGTCGAGACAAGAGGGCAGACGAAGAGGCGGGGTGATAGATCTCTAAGCAAAGCACGACTTCCAAGTTCAAAATGCAGCAAGGATGACGCATAATGATGTCTCTTCGTATTTCCTTTAATTCAGCTTTCTTTTCAGGAGAACTTGGTTTCCTTTACAATTTAGAGACAATGCTTTTGGCCCAGAGTTGGCAGTGTTTCTGTTGTCTTTTTATTTCATATGATAATTCATGAAACATTAGGAGGGGGGGGGGGTTATGTGTGTGTATAATCGGTGCGAACAGTGCGGGGGTGAGTAGAGCGCTAGGCCTATTTTTGTTCGGTAGACGGTAGATCTAGATCTACAGATAATCGGCTTTGGGCTTTCCCATTCACCTTCTTCACTTTTTGGACTAGCCTAGGGCAGGCCTACATCACGAAATGCAGCTTGAGTTGCCTAGGCCTAGACCTACCCTACTGAGCAAATACAACTGGGCAAATTGAGGGTCATATAGGTAAACACCTTTGCCTTTGTTGTTGTCTAATGGTCAATGACAATGGGCCAAGGGCTAGGCTTTCTCACCTCCTTGCAATAGGCCTAGCCTAGAGTACAGATATCTATGTCTAGTCACGAGACTGACACCAAAGATACTACACCCTAGGCTACGATCGTAGGATGTACTATCTTTGCTGACACTTTGTTGACTTATATATATATATGACTTTGTTTATCTTTGTCTGCACTTAGACTGATAATTATGTTTATAATGTTGTTTTATGCTTTTCAGCTCTTTGTAAATCAGGTCGATAAGTTTTTAGACTCAATAATAATAATATAATAATACTAGCCTATAGACTAGGCTACATGTAGGCTAATCACTACCTGCATCGCAAGTGGAATGACGGCGAGAGATTAATTCCTTGCACAGAATTCTACACTTAAGTGTAGAATTCTGTGATTCCTTGCTAATTTATCCACGAGACAGAATCCCAATTTTTAAAAGGCCCCGGCTGGCAACACTGACTTGGCTAGGCCCTAGGCTAGGCTAGGAGGCAAAGACTGGTGCTACTTTCGGTTTCCTTTCAAGCCGACTAGCCGAATCTGGCCTTGCGCCCCACAATGAGAAGGTGAAGAGAGGACTTCGTCAATCGCTGTTCCCAATTAGTTTCAAGGTAAGTTATGAACAAGCCACATTGTTTTAAATGGCTAACACACAAGGCTAAAATACTTTGCAATTTTTCTATTTCAGCGACTGGTTTATTGACATAATTGACAGGCCCTGTTACTGTTTGCCATGTCACACGCCCAGTCCAGTTTGTCACAATTTCGTACGAGAGTATCAAATTGATGACAGTCGTAATCACAGCACGGACTACCCACAGCACTTTAACACTGTAGTTGTAACTGTAACTTACGTTTTTAGGTACATTTTTTCTTTTGCACCCACACATAGATGCATAAACTACCACAATTTTTGCCGTAGAACACACACGCATGGCCACTAAAACCCTTGCAAATCAATTGTTTTCAAGTAAATATCAATCCTAATTGCCAAAACATCAAATCATTGTGAAATTCAGGGGGCCCCCCTGAAACCCCCCAGATTCTTTTTAGGTGCCCCCCTGAAACCCCCCATTTATAGAGTTAAATTTACTATTTTCAAACATCAATAAAACTAGATCTAGATATAGATCTAGAATTATAGTAGAATCTAGATCTAGATTATAATAGATCTATTGATTTGCGGCAAAAATGAAGACCTTCGTGTTCAGCCTGTAAAATACTACTGGAATAAAAGTATATCAAACGTGTACATGAGACGGGTGTATTAGTAAAAAAAATACTGTTTTTTATTCTCCACCTTCAAATTGGTGGTGGTATAGAGAGGTAGATTTCTCTAGTTCTTCTGTAAAATGTCAATTCAGCTTGTAGTGTTCTTCAATATTTCTACCTTTTTGTATGCAAATCAAAACAAATTTAAATTACTTGGTGGTAAAATTTCAACAATAAATGTTCCTTCGTTAAAAACAATTGAAAAATATAATTCAATTCATACAATCAAGCAATCATTAATTTACTCTTTTTGAGAGTGTCAGTGATAACTTCGGATCCATAATGCAGGGCACAGTCAAGGCCTGTGACATTTTTCCGTGGGCCACATCTAGCCTAGAGTCGAGGCCTGCGACAAACAAGCATGTTTCCGGTCTAATGATCTAAATATCTAGATCAGATCAAGGATCTTTTCTTGGCCTACTTGTACTAGGTGTGGTGCTAGATCAAGATATGTCAATGAAATACCATATGTATCCAATCTTTGTAAAAATCTATATCTCCAGCTGAAGAAAATAGGGAGCATTAGAAAATATCTGTCTGTTGGTGTCACCAAAATTTTAATAACATCACTTATAATATTGTCAAGGATTGATTATTGCAATTCTTTACTGGCTGGTGTACCTGATGAACTTTTAAACACCCTTTGTGCCTCCTAGCCTAGAACGCTCAGATCATCAAGTGACAAAACAACCCTTGTTAAAAAAATAAATTACAAATCATATGGCCAACGCTCTTTTTCATATTTTGCCCCACTTGTTTGGAATAGGCTTCCAAAAACTATCAGAGAAGCAGAAAATCTAGAAATTTTACAACAACTACAAAGACTACAAAATATTGAGCTGCCAAAATAATCACTAAACTAAAGCATGATCATGTGACTCCTATTTTAAATGCATTACACTGGCTCCTAGTGAAAGAGTGTATCATATATAAAATCTGTTTAACTTGCTAAAAGTGCTTAAATGATTTATCACCGGACTATCTAAAACAGCTTTTAACACCCTATGTGCCTCCTAGAACGCTCAGATCATCAAGTGACAAAACAACCCTTGTTAAGCCTAAAATAAATTACAAATCGTATGGCCAACGCTCTTTTTCATATTTTGCCCTACTTGTTTGGAATAGGCTTCCAAAAACTATCAGAGAAGCAGAAAATCTAGAAATTTTTAAGAAGAAACTAAAAGCATTTCTATTTTCATCATATTTCGATTAGACAGAATCCATCCAAGCTGTAGATCGTTGTGAGTTTGTATGTGCGTATGTGCATAATATGTACACGTATGTGTGTATGTATGTGTGTGTGGTGCGTGCGTGAGTGAATATGTGTTTGCACGAGTATGTAACACTATGTACCTTTAAAATTGATTTGTAAATCCACAATATTTATCATGTTAAGCGCATAGAGCATTGCATAAGTGGATATGCGCTATATAAATGCAATCCATTATTTTTTAAATTAATATTACTAAAACTAAACGTGGATTCGGAGTTAGGAGGCTTTGATATGACTCTAATTTATATTGCCAAGAGGGTAGTTTGTCTGCAGAAAGTAAGCCAAAGTCCTAAAAAAAATAATTTAATAAAAAGATTACTTTCCGGGCTCAGCCGCATCCACAATGGGTGAAAACATTCAGTGTTCCAACTTTTGACAAATTCCATTTATAAATATGGTATGATGGAAGAACTTAACAAATTAGACTAGACTAGTGCTGTTCTTCCGGGTAGGCTATACTTCGACCTCTTCCTATTTCCATGTGTGACGATGTGGTGGAATCAGGCTCTCGTCAATTTTTGGGCACATGTAGATTTATCATCTTAAACCATGTTCATTGGTCTTGCTTTGGATGACAAAATAATCCATGATCTGTTCTGAATATATAGGTCAAGATAGAGGCATTTGCAAATGGAGGAGGTGGGAGTCGCCTAGTTTCAGAGGTAAAATTAGTGTAGTGAGAAAATGGCTGCCAAAGATTAGTATTTCCTCAGCTTGAGAGTCCGGGGAAATTGAAAATTTACTTTTTTTCAGTAAAATCCACACAGAAATATGTGTTCTTTAATGGGCATGAAAGGTATTGGGGGCTAAAAAACAAGAATTCGATAAAAATTCACAAACCTTCGGAAAAATGCCAGTTTCTTCACTTTGATTATTTTGACGAGCACCTGTTTTCACTACGCTGCCTCACTCGCACATAATATATATATATATATTATATACTGTTATATACTCACTACTACTTATTTTATTTATAATTACTTTAGACAAGACTACGCCTTCTGTCTTCTTTTCATTTCCGATCAAAATGTTCAAAAATGTAAAAACTAGCTTAAAGTTATTGTTGAACACTTCTGATTCAGTTACCCTGCAATAATTTTGTTTTGCAAGTTTTATCATGTTTGAATTGTATCTGAGACAAGTCAAAACAGTGCATGTCCTCTTGATGGTAGCAAAGAATATAGACTTCCGTAATGAGCAACCACCTCCGACAAACACAATAAAGAAAAGACCTTTCTAAGCCCAACCCTTACCCTAACCCAAACCCTAACAGTAACACTCTAACCCTAGCATTAACCTTAACCCGAAAACCTCTATTTTAATTCTATACTCTATTTCATAGTGGTTGCTCGTTATGGAATTCCTCTTTGTAGCAACCCCGACAAGGTGTTCAACGGTAAATCCTGCTTGACTGACCAGTGTTTAGACCCACTGCATTCTAGGTGGTCTGCAGTAAGTTCCACCTGATTGGCCATGGTCTGCCTGTGCTGTAAGAAGGCAGTGAGAACAGCAGGGACCAGGTGCATTTAGATCAAAAGGAAGTGGCGTTTACAATTGCTTTTTGTTTAGGTCGATGGATTGCTTCATTTTGCTGTGGTATTTTAAAGATGATTGATACGTAAATTGCAACAGCAGGTATCCAGACAGGTTGATGTTGACAACCAGGCGCAGGATACATTTAGAGCAAAGACTGAGGGAGAGGATGGATGATCAAAAGTGTTGGTGTTTACACTCATGACGGTCCTAACTCTCTATTTATTTATGATATTTTGCTAAAATTGGTCATAAGAAGATTGTTTCCCAGAGTTCCAAATTTGGAACCAGCCAAAAGCTGGTCAGTGCCCAGAGTTCCAAATTTGGAAACAGGGCTAAATTTTACACATAAAGTGTTGAAGAACTGAAACCACCTAATTATTGATTGTCTACAATGTTTACAACTTATAATGGCCTCCGAAAAAGTTTTGGGAGCTACTTTCATACCTTGGGCATTCCAAGGATTTATATCAAATGGAGATTTGACGAAACTTGAAGTGCGGTTTGCTCTTGATTATTAGCAAACTTGAACAGTGTTAGTGTTATATATATATAAATCTCTGGCTGTCTCCAAGTTCCACACAAGGAATGTCTGTGACAGTTATGGCAATAAAAAATATTTGCTGAAATGTCAATAGAGGGTTTGATGCCGCCTTGGTGCAGAAAAGGAAATCAGATAGTTGGCTTGCTCAGTAACGAAGCTAATTGTCAGCAATTGTGAAAATGTACTAAGCTCAAAAAGCAATATTTTGCAGGAGAGAGAAAAAGTATTTCATTCTTTTAAGAATTTTACATACATTATCATGTATTCTTGCTATTTTTTTCATTTTTCAATATGTGCAATTTGAATTTTGACAAAGTATTTCTTGAGAACATGTTACTGATATACCTCAAATTAAGAAATTGCAATAAAAAGAAATTAAACATTTTGAGAGTTGTAGGCCTACATTTTAACAGCTAGCCAACGTAATGCTTACTACTTGAACTTTGGAGTGTTAAAATGTTATATTTTTATAATACATGAATAATAATACATATACTTAAAAGGCTAGATATGGCAAGTCTATCAGCACTTAAGTCTATATTATAATATGATTATAAGATTGTTAGTATTATATAAATTTGTATCATTCGGGGCTTCACTGCAATAGCATTTCTTCATTGTGTCTGGACTTAAGTTTTAGTTGTGTTGTTCATTTCAGAATACACAGTACATTTTTTAAATGGCGGAAAAGGAAGACTTCTCGTATGAGAAAATCAGTGATCCATACTACTTCGAGAGTGACCATGTCGCCTTGAAAGAGAACAGTGACTACAGGCACCTCCTCCACACTATTGCACTTCTGGAAGCTCAACGAAAACAGACTGCTCAAGACATCGAAACCTTGTACAGATCACAAGATGAGGCTTTGGCTGATCCACTACACTTTGTAGAAAGGCTTCAGAAAGGAGAGAACTTTGGTACGTTTATTATGTGCAGAAAGCAGGCATGGAAAAAGTCTTCTCAGTAGAGTGGTTGAAAACAATGTGTTTATCTCCGAGTCAGTACTGAAATACTGTCGAAATTGTCAAAGATGGTTACACATTGTCGAGGAGTAAAATGGTCATCCTAGACAGGTGACTGCATTACACAGTGCCAAAATAATGTTAAAAAAACTGCAAAGGGGATTATGGGAAGTGGCCGTTTGCTCAGATGGTTGTCTTATAGAGGTGGCTGTTAGAACAGGTTGGACTTTACTTTTCACTTATAAATAAGAATGAAGACTGGAATTGTAACCATAACTAACGATTTTGTTATCAATGGACAGATCATTTGGTTAGCTTGAATAAGAAAAATTAGATATATCTATTTTGCACCGTGGAAATTGTGTTTGTTGAATAGAAAACGGGTCACTACTGATGGAACAAAACATTTTTTTAGAAAATGGCATCTCATTAGAATGTAAACTGTCATTTGTGAAATTCACAATTATTATACATACTATGAACCTGCTCAAACATCACTTCACTCTCCCATCTTTGTGGGGGGGTTTTCTATACAGTTGAACCTGCCATGATGGCCACCTGTACAAACGGCCACTTTCCATTTCCCCCCCTTGTGCTTTTTCTATATAATTTAACTGTGTAAAACGGGCACCTGTCCAACGCGGCCGTGGTCACCCTTTTTTATCCACCCACGGTCAAATCTACCTGCCTAAGACGGCCAGACTGTAAAAAATTATGCATTTTCCCCTGACGTTGCGGACAAGCCGTCATAATTCATTCACCTGTCGTTGTCAGTCCCTCAAATGGATGAAACGGTCATGTTGCTTAGATCACTCCCAGTGTTTACCCAAGTGACCAATGGGTAACAATAAATTTTCAGCTGCTTTTAAGGGAAGCGTGTGACCCGTCATAACCTATAAAGCCCGCCCACAACCCAGTCCATAGCAAAAGAAGTCAACAAAAATTCGCGACAGACGTGCCCGCTCGTTCGCTGAGTAGTGGCGACCCATTTATTTGTTTTACTATGACATTTGGCCTTCCTCGTCTGAAACATTTCGTTTTGTTTTGTCCTTTCCTGGAACCATAATCAATAACAGCAACACATTTTAATCAACCCTTGGGCAGTCCTAAGCATGCAACCACCTCTAGTTGGGACCTCAGAAGTAGCCTAAATAATTTGTTTTCTTCATTTTGATCATTCCTTCCTAAGACGGCCACCTGTCTTATTATACAGCCACTTTTCCCCTTGACAATGCGTGGCCGTCTTATACAGGTATGACTGTATATTATAAACACAGTTCAAGAGAACCACCTGCCTAAGAATTAAGATAAATAAGAACTGTGTTCCTCAAGACATATTCGACTGTTTTGTACGTTTGATGTAATATATAAATGTAGGGTCTTGTCTCTTTCTGGTTGCTGGTGAAGAAGTTTATTTCTTACGTCCCTCAGTCTGGAGCAAATGAACATGAACAATGTGTACTTAAGGGTCTCTATCAGATGCATTTCAGTTTAGTTATTTCTTGGATGTATTTTAGATCTTTTAAACCGTCACTAGAGAAGACGTGCTGTTATTTTGATTTTGTTTCAGGTTATCCCTTACCCCAGAAAATTGCTGAGCTTCCAGTGGTTGCATGGGAAAAATATACCAGTACTGCCAATTTTTCATATTTTGCCTCTTCAAAACATAAGACCAGGAATAAGAAAGGTCAACTGGAGAGTGGAAGTGGTATGTATTTTTATTTTGTTCGCTTTCTTCTTCTTCTTCATTTTTGCTTTATCGTTGTTTAAAATTTTGTAATCTATAGCTTTATTAAATTGATATAATGGGAAAGATACCTCAACAAAAAGTTTTTACATTCATATTATATACTGTTGTACCAATGAGAATGAGTCGGAAACTACACTTATACATCTGCTATGGGAGGTCTCCTGTTCAAAAACTCCAAGAAAGTAGGAGTGCTTTTTGAGAAAATATGTGATATTGGGGTCCTTTTTCTTGACAAGTTATGAGACTTTGGATTTGCTCAGTAATTTTTTTGCCTTGATGAATAATATGGTGATGCGAGAGGTGATGACATTTCATTTTTGTATGTGATAATCTACCTCATGTAGGCTATATTTTGCAACTCTTTTGCTATTCTTTAGAATTGCTAGGAAAGATGCATAGAGGCATAGAATTGAAAAGTTCTCTGTGAATGCGAGAAGATAAGAGTATTTGTGTTTGAGCTCACACTTAATTGTTCTGCAGTTGATCAAGTGCAAAGTTTAAAGTCCAAATTGCTTCAAGGCGTTGTACCTCAAGCTGCTGCTGCTGCTGCTTCTCCCTCAACATCAAGTAACAGTTCAGATCTTGTTGTTGTTCGTGGCAGAGCAAAAGACAGTTCCAAACCTGCAACATTTAATCAATTATGGACAGAGGAGGAACAGCAGAGGTATGATTGTTCTGCATCAATACTTCTTTGACAACAATATACATATTTCTCACCCCCCGGGGCAGTGCCACTGACTGTAGTGTCTTTAGGCCATTCCCAAAGGGGGAACATTTCTCGTTCAAGCATAGTAGAATTGTAAATGGGCTGACTCATCATGTCACGCTCATAACTGTGCCTAATCTACGACAGGGAACTGCTGCTTTTTCTTTCCTAATCCTTACTATTGTCATTTTCCTCAACTTCTTTTGTATGTTTGTCACTCTCTTGTGACCCGCTATTTCCGGGGTGCCTTGATAGTCAAAGCAGACCTTGTACTGCTGAAGCTAGAGAGGTGAGCAGAGTAAGTCTGATTCCCTGTAAAGACTTCTCTGTTGACACCCACCCCTTGGCGCTCATATGACATTATGCAGTTGCAAGCGTCATAAAACCCTCTACTATAAAAAAACAACAACAGAAAAACATATTTCTCAGGGGACTCTCGTGGTCTAGAGGTTATGATGTTTGCATGCCTCTCATTCAATAGGTCCCAGGTTTGAATCCGGACAGCGACGGAAAATTTTTTTCTCTAAAAATTTGTTTTCACCTCCTTTCCTGCTCTCTAACCATGTTCTGTTGTCTGCTTTCGCCTCCGCTTTCTTCACCCTCCGGCCTCCCCACTCCCCTTTGCCCACTCCTCTGGGCATGCGTGGTTGGTGGGTGCTCTGGTGTGGTTTGCTTTTTCTTTCCTATCAGATATCTGTCGTCCTTATCTCTCCTCCTTTTTTGTGTTTGTTACTCTCATGGAACACCTTTAATCTTTGGCATTTATATGACCTTACTGTGTTGCAAGTGCCGTAAAACACTTACAAAAAAAAAAAAACTCCTCTGGGCTCTTTACTCTTTCTCCCGCCTTTCTACTGCTATTCCTCGCATCCCTCTCGCAGCTGTCTTTCATCCACACCCCTAATCTTATGGTAGGTAAGATCAAGCACCTAGCTTTCTCGGGAAAGGGCGAAAAATCTTGGAGGTCTCATGTGCAAGTTGCGCTCGTTCAAGATCCTTTGGTGGTCCTAAAATCAATAAAAGTAGGCTTCGGCCACCACCCTGGCAAAATTCCAAATTTCCTACCAACTGAAAAATATTTAATGTGTCCTGCATGCTAATATGACCTTATGCAGTTGCGAATGCCGTAAAAACTTACCCCCCCCCACCAAAGAACCCCACCCAACATATTTCTCCTAAAATAGACAAATGTTATACTGCTGTGTGGATGTTGCTTTGTTTGGTTCTCATATTTTGTTTGTTGTAAGTTCGGATTGTAAAAGACCCATTATTTTGCTACGAATAATGAAAGGATTTAATATAAAGCCAGCATGTTTGCTCCCAAACCTTAAAGTGATAAATATTCTTGCACAATTTTTTGGGGGGAGGGGAGGTATTGTATGTAGGGGCTTTTGATAACAATTACCTGGTTGTGTAAGATGTCTTGTTTATTTTGAATGTAATTGATTCCAAAACACTAAATGAGATAATTTTAATGAAGATCGTACTCATACTCTTTGCTTCAGAAATATTCACAAGCCTGTATGGAAATTTGTTGGAGGATAAGATAAGATAAATTGTCCTGATCCTGGATCATTGATTTGGTGTTTCCCCACATACACAGACGCATGAACACACATGCACGTGTGCACACCCATACACCCACACACTCTCTAACACATTCTCTCCATCTCACACATCTGTGCACATAACCAAGGGGGAAAAAAGATTGTTGAGTCATCCCACGAACGTTTTAAGTCCAATGTTTCTGCTAACTTTTTGTCTTCTACAGTTGGTGGGCGTGGCAGTTACTCTTAGTACAAAAAAGTCTAACTTGGCTTAGTGTTTCTCTGCAGCTTTTTCATATGTCTCAGTGTGTATGTCTCTGCCGCTTTTTTTTTTTGTGGATAAAATTTCTTTCATATGACTTAAATTTGACAACTCAATATTCTTTTATTTTTGACTCTCCTTAGGCTTGAGAGTTTGCTCGTTCAGTTTCCTCCTGAAGAAGTTGAGTCAAGACGCTGGGCTAAAATTGCTGATGCCCTTGGAAATCGAACACCAATTCAGGTGAAAATTAATGCCATGTGGATTTCTTAGGAACTGCTTCATAGAGTTCATTGGATATGTTCTTATTGAGCTCAAATCTTCTGTTTGCACAATAAATTCAAATTCCTCATTCACACTCGTTCATCTATCACAATAAATCAACATTGTGTTGCACCAATCAGAACATTTTTTTTAGCATGAGTAGCTTGTCACATTTGCTCCTTGCCTAACACTTTTTATGGCCAGAATTTTTCGTCCCAAAACATACACTTATTAGAACTCTCACAAGCTTGTTTGGTCATAGCTTCTTCCTGTGTTCAAACAAACGCCCTTTTGTTATCAGGCTGCCTGCTCTGCTGTTGCAGTTGGATCAAGTGTAATTGTGTGTAAATGTTTTACACCCCTTTCAACACAATTGAGATCATTTTGGAGGTAGCTACTTTGACCCTGTTTGTCAGAGCCAGCCTGGACTAAGTGCTCAATGTGGGTGGTTGGTGGGTGCTCTGGTGTGGTTTGCTTCTTCTTTCCTGCCAAATATCTGTCCTCCTTATCCGTCCTTCTTTTTTGTGTTTGTTACTCCCTTGTGTAACACCTCTAATCTCCGGCACTTATATGACCTTATTGTTTGGCAAGCGCCGTAACACACTTACTAAAACAATAAGTGCTCAATAAAGTGCTCTACCTCAGCAGCACTTACTTATTCCCTTACTCGCTCTCTTTGTTTCTTTCCCTCCCCTTAACGTTTGTGCTTTGTCAAGGCCTATTCTTGTTGGCTTGGTTAATTTTAAGAACATTTTAGGCATGCATAGTACAACATGACAAGTATACAATACAAAGTGTCCTCTATAGACACTTAATCTTAAACCTATTCACAACATTGACAAAACGCTTTTGCATTCCCATCTGTTTCCTTCGCTCCAATTAGTCATTTTGTTTTCTCTACAGCATATGGGATTTTCAGTTTACATCCTCTGGAAGAATAAAAGACATCTTTGTTAGGAAATGAAAGCAGATGTACTAGTTTTTTTTTCCTTGAATCTGAAAAGTTCAAAGTGCATGGCTATCCCCAGACTGGACTAACTACTTTGGAGTTATTTTCTCACGTGAATTTCTGGTGGCGCAGATTTTTTTCAACAGTCTCCAGCCCTTCAGAAGGTTCTCCTGTATGTTTTGTTTTTGGGGTTTTTTAATTTTTAAATTGGGGAACATTGCTATGTTTTCGTTTCTCTAACTTTATGCTCATTAAGTAAGACTTTTTGTTTTTATCCCAAGGTTGCAAGTCGGGTACAGAAATACTTCCTGAGGCTAGCAAGAGAGGGTTTGCCAGTACCTGGGAGAATGCCCAATCTAACATCTCATTCTAAGAAGGTAACATTGTTACTATGGCTATGAAGAAAAATGCCTAAGCTAATCAAAATTCTTATATCCCACTTTATGAGAAGGCCGTTGACAGTATAGACTGAGCGACACTATGGAAGATACTGAGACATCATGGAATCCTACAGAAGTTGGTGGACCTCATCAAGAGCATATTTGAAGGGACAAGTTGCAGGGTTGTACATGATGGCCAGCTCACTGATAGCTTTGACATCGAGACCGGTGTGAGACATGTTACTACCACCTTTCCTCCTCATCTTGTCGATCGACTGGCTGATGAAGGAAACCACCAGAGGACTCAGAAATGGCATACAGTGAACCCCTTGGATACAGTTGGATGATCTGGATTTTGGAGACGACTTGGTGCTCCTTTCGCACACCCAGGAACAGATGCAAGCAAAGACTTCAGTTTTAAACAGCCTATCAGAGTCTGTTGGATTGAGGATCTACCCCATAAAGTCAAAGATCTTAAGGATAGATGCATAACGAAGGGAGCAGGTCACAAAAGAAGGAAATGCATGAGAAGACGTCGAATCTTTCTGCTATCTTAGGAGTATAATTGACAGAGAGGCAGGAACAGGTGCCAAAATAAAGTCCCGCATCGGAAAGGCAAAGACTGCTTTCATATCTTTGAATAGGATTTGGAGGACGAGGGATATCTTACTTCGAACAAAGCTGAGGATTTTCAATTCAAACATGAAGTCAGTCTTTTTGTGTGGAGGTGAGACATGGAACACATCTCAGACTTGAATAAAGAGGATCCAGGTTTTCTTGATTAACTCTGTATCTCCAGCAAGCCGCTCCCAGCAGCTCGCGATTGGAACCGCCGTGCTGGTGAGCTGGCATATTCCTTTACGACGACTTCAACATCAAATTATATTTCGGAAATTTCCTAAAACAGGTCTCTCGTAAGATGAAGAAATATCAAAATAGGTTTGCTATAGATTTAGCACCACAAAAGGGCCTCGGCATAGTGGGTTTACCCCCCTCGGAGATAAAGAGTTAAGTATCTAAGGAAGTTACTGAGGATCAGATAGATAAATAGAGTCACCAAGGAAGGAGGAAATGTTAAGGAAAACATGACGGAGCTAAGCTACAGATGAGGCAGCGATGGATTGGACATACTCTCAGGAAGTCAGGCACCTGCATAACAAGGAAAATGTGAGATTGGAATCCACAGGGCAAAAGATCAAAGGGAAGACCATGTGGAACTTGGAGAAGATTCACAGAAATTGATGTACAAAAAAGTAGGAAAACATGGAATAACATCAAGAGGCTAGCCCAGGATAGGGGAAAGTGGAAATTGTTTGTGCCCCATACCCTAATCCAGGGTGAGAAAGGCAATGATGGTGTCAATGACTTTATGTAAAGTGTCCAGAATGTGCAATGACAACCTTTATTCATCTCACAGGGAGAAATTTGTCTTGGTCATTCACAGGGGCAGTGGATGTTACAGAGGTTAGGTGCGGTGCACTCACGCATACACACAACAAGACAGAACATTAGTAAATACATGTCTCTCATGCTGAAAAAGCCTGTTCTGTAAAACACAACTCTCTCTCTCTCTCTCTCTCTCTCTCTCT